GCAGGGTCGGGCAGCCATGCCTCCGCCGGCCTTGCCCCGCGACGGGACTCAAGAACCGTGTTCACCCTCGCAGGGGCCGGGGCGAACGGCCCTGACGCCAGCCTTGCCTTCAGCACACCGTAGCGAACCCAGCCCTAGGCCAAAGCCACATGCGCCCGCCCAGGCAAGCTCATCGGACTCACAGTTGCATCCAGCCTCAAAGCGGCTCTTGTTGGACGTGTTTGCAGGTAGGCTGCGCCCAGTGACGTCGGCCGCCATTAGCCTTGGCCTTGACTGCTTTGAGCCTTTTGACCTAGATGGTGATGCCGCGCACAACATCCTGGATGACAGCGTCTTCGAGGCACTCCTCAGACTCTGCTGGTCAGGAATTGTGGCCCTGATCATGCTTGCTCCGCCTTGCAAAGAGTACTCCAGACTCAAACTTCGCCCGGGCCCAAAGCCTTGAGAACGCCGCAGCACATGGACGGGGTCCCCGGCCTTTCGCCTGCGCAGCGTAAAAAATTACTGGATAGCAAAACCATCCACGATCGTGGTAGAGCCCTGTTCAGAGCAGTGGTCTCCAAAGGGGGCGTGGGCATTTGGGAGCAGCCACCATCAGCCATGTCCTGGTTGGAAGAGGCTAACTTCCAAATGCTACGCGATCACCAGTGTGCCCTTGTGTGGGTAGATGCCTGCGTGCACGACAAAGCCTTCGCTAAGTCATGGGCATTCGGCAGCAATAGTTCAAAGGTACAGGCCCTGCAGGCCCGCTGCAATCACTCCCACAAGCATCAAAGTATTGCAGGAGTGAAGGAACAAGGGGTATACCTCAGCACACTAACTGCAGAATACCCCCCTTCCCTGGCCCTGCAATTGGCCCAAATAGGCGTAGGAAGGGTAAGTAAAACAGGCTCCTTCCGGCAAGCGCTGCCACTGCACCCTAACTCCCCTAGAACCGTCACTTTGGCGCCTTGCAGGCTCCCCGCCTGCGATGGAGCAGGAATGCACTCATCCGCAGATTGGTGTCTCCCCAAACCCGAACACCCGCTGCAGGCAGTCGCCAGGCCCTGGCTGCACTGGATGCATGAGCGCAAACCCGTGCCACGTATCCTGGCACACGTCAAAAGCGGTTCTTCAGACTGCCCACTCTCGCCCTCCGAAAGCCTGGAAGTGGCAACTCTAGCGTATACCGCTTTAAAACTGCCCTTCAGATATGAGCCCCGAGGCAGGACAGCCATACCGACTCCACCTGCTGCATGCCCTGGCCAAATCTTGGGGTGACCCAGACATGGCCCTCCTGCCATTTTTGCAACACGGAGTGCCGACAGGAGCCGTATCAGCCTTGCCACCAAGCCTTCAATGGCCAGCAAAGAAGCCAGACTCCGTGCCGCCGCCGGATCTGGAAATTTGTGAAGGCAACTGGAAGATGGCCGAAGACGAGCCAGAAACCGTGCAAGGCTTGCTGCGCAATGAAATTGCCAACAACTGGATTGTTGAAACCAGCCTTAGCATAGCCGACGCTCGGGAAAAATGGCCCTTAGGCATTGCCGTGGGCAAGCTAAATGTCGTGTTCGCCGAAGGCAAAGAGCCTCGCCTTGTCTTGGATAGCACCGTGTGCCAAGTCAATACCAGATGCCATTTGCCAGAGCGCCTTAGCTTGCCAATGGCATCTGATTTGGCGCTGTCCACGCAGCCAGAAGACACTCCAGGCGCCTTCATAGGCGCTAGCATTGACTTTAAAGCCGCACACAAACAAGTGCAGGTCCGCCCGGAAGAGCATGGCCTTCTGCTCTTCGCCTTTCAAGGGAAGCTCTACCATTACAGGGTGTGCCATTTTGGGGGCCGTTTCTCGGCTTTCTGGTGGCAGCGCGCCGGCGCATTTTTGCTTCGCTAGGTGCATGGGTTGCTAGCCTGGAAGCCACACAAAGCCTTCCTCTTTGTGGACGACCTGCTCTGTGCACTCTTCCGGGATAGCGCGCCAGACATGTTTGCCTTGGTGCTCTTCTTTTGTGCCATTGCAGCACCCATTTCGTGGAAAAAGGCGCAATTCCAGGATAGCCTGGTTTGGGCGGTTGGGAGATCAACTTCTCTCACGACACCATTCAGCTCGTGTCCGCTAAGCTAGCCAAGCTGGACGCCTTGATCAAATCCCTGTTGGGAAATCGACGTGTGCCCCGCAAAACGCTCGAGCAGTGCGTAGGCCTGCTTATTTGGGCCACCAGCATTGCCCTACACCTCAGGTCCTGGCTAGCACCGCTTTACGCGGACCTCAACAGCCCACCAGGCTCCATGCACTCAATACCGCCGCAAATGTGGTCAGCCTTTCGAGCATCCTTGACTAAGGACCTCAAAACTAGCCATAGCCTCCCGGGCTTGTGGATCACAGCGGGCTCCAAAATCTTGGAAATTTCAGGCCGCACCACGCATTGCCCTCAAGACATTCCGCAAGTGCCTGGCACTAGCAAGCCCACATGGGTGCGCGTCGCAGACCCCAACAACCCATACACCAGCCTTTCCAAGTCAAGCCAACAGTGCCTTACTTGGCTGGCGTCGCGCTTTCGACACTCGCCCATCCAGCCTTTGGCGCGGCCACGCCAGCTGCAAGCTCTGGCTGCCGCCTGTGTGCCGAAGATGATATGGTGGGGATTGGGGGCTGGGCAATCACATCCTCCCAAGTGGTGTGGTTCGCCGAGACCTGGAACAGGCAAGACATAAGAGCCGTGTGGCCTTGCCTTGTCAGGCCAGGACAGCGGTACATCGCATGCTTTGAAACTCTTGCACAGTTAGCACTGCTGCAAGCAACCCACAGCCACATTGGTGGTGGGCGCTACTCGTTTAGCATGCCTTCCGGCACAGATAATTCCGCCACGGAAGCAAGCCTTAACAAACTGTTCACGACCTCCTGGCCGTTGCAACTCTTTGTGCAATTAACAGCCTTCTGGGCTCACGCTCACAACGTGCTGCTGCAGCCGACGCACGTTCCAGGTGCAATGATTGGGCGGACGCTCTCAGCAGAGGTCGGTTGGCCCGGTTCAGCCACCGCCCTGAAAGTCGCATACGCTTCAGCCCTGCAAGCCTAGCGATGTCGGGCCGAAGCATTCGACTGTGTCCGACGCATGCGCCCTGGCGTCCGGAACATTTGGCAGCAGCCTCCGTCGTCGCTGCACCGACCTAGCCTGCGTCCGACATGGCCTTCTGACCCAATATCCGCCGTTGCCCTGTCAGCCAGAACAACTGGCGATGTCAGCCAGCCGCTTACTCAAGCCGCTCTGACCAGAAAAAAGTGCAGTCACCGCAGAGGTTCGTGGACAGCATGAACGTCTTCCCCACGAGCCTGGCCAGCATGATCGACGACCTCAGGGCCTGCACCCACAAGCAGCTGCCAGAGCTCTTCCCGCTGATGGCCTCGCTTCACCCCGAGCTGCAGCTGCGCACGCCGACCGACTCTCCGCCCCAAAGACGGCCTCTCCCAGCGTGCATGGTGACGCTAGCATCTGCCCTGCCAGGTACAACCCCACTCTGAAGGGCGGGTGATGAGGCCGAAGGTCGCTTTTGCCGGGGTTGCCTGAAACACTGAAGGGGGGGTCAATGTGCCTCCTGCTCCAGGCGCACTAGTGCCCTGGAAGCAGTGCAACTTTCAGCAATCCCGGTAAAAAGAACTGCGGCCGCTTCGGACGAGCTTTGTTCTTTTGAGGTTTCATGTTTGGGTTCAAGCTAGGAGCAGTGCGACATGCCTTAACGCTTAGGGTTTCTTTTCCCTTGTGTTTAGGGCATGTGGTGAATCGAACTATGCGTTGGCCGTTTTGCTCCTAGCCTTGACCCAAACCTGCGGTTTCATTTCTGAAACCCACCCACCCGCCCTGCACTGCCCTATGCCAGGCTTTGCCAGGATAGATAGCAGTTTGTCTGCGCTTTCGTGGGTCGCCTCCGGGCACTTTGGTCTCCGGACCAGGTCTCCGGACCAATTTCGGTCTCCGGACCTCGAGTCTCCGGACAGTCGGTCTCCGGACCTTGGGGCGTGGGCACGCATGCCGCGCCCCCCCAGGCACTGCTTTTACACGCAAGGACACGCATTGTCTTGCCTTTTCACATTTCGGGGGGTCAATGTGCCTCCTGCTCCAGGCGCACTAGTGCCCTGGAAGCAGTGCAACTTTCAGCAATCCCGGTAAAAAGAACTGCGGCCGCTTCGGACGAGCTTTGTTCTTTTGAGGTTTCATGTTTGGGTTCAAGCTAGGAGCAGTGCGACATGCCTTAACCCTTGTGTTTTTTAGGTTTGGGGTGAATCTCCTACGCCGCCGCCATTTGGTGCTCCTAGCCCTCAAACTCACGTTTAGGACTCGCAGTCCTGGTTTCGCTTGAAACCCACCCGCCCAACCCTTCTAAGCCCTAAGCTTGCTTAGGCTTCGCGGACAGTCCTCCAAGCTTGGAGCCTGCCGGACAAGAACTGGGAGCGCGCTCTCACCAGGGCCCGGACCCGCGGTCTGGCCCTGTTTGCGTCTTTGGGCCCGCAGGTCCTTTGATGCGGGCGTGGGCACGCATGCCACTCCCCCTTTTTTGGCATTTTAAAGCAAGGACACGCTTGTCTTGCGACATTGTTTTCCACAGGGGGGGGAACATCTCGCCCCTTGTCCTAGGTGCGCCGCAGTGCCCTAGGAAAGTGCCACCTTCCCAAGCAACCCGGTAAAAAAGGTGTGCGCCTTGCAGTCGGCTTTTGGGTTCTGGGTTCTTTGTGGTTTGAGGCTAGGAGCAGTGCGCGGGACCTTTAACGCGATTGTTGGCTAAAGCCGACCCTAACATTGGCATTTTAAACCCACACCAACCCAACCTGCAGCGTTAAATCCGCCTTCAACGCTAAGCACGCCCCTCGACCTATCACCACCAAAACACCGAACTAACTCTGAACCAACGCTGAACAATCCCTAAGCCTATTGTAAACCACCCGAAACACACCTACACCGATAAACCGAATCTGGAACGGGCCGGGAGCAGAGTCTTGTGCATTCTTGTCCACTTGTGTTCGCAGACATTTGTCATTCGAGAACGAACGTCACACGCCATGAGCTTGCAAGCCCTGGTCGCCTTGACTCTATCTCTAGTTTTGGCCGTGACCGGCTCGGACTGCGAGGATGCCTGGCTGGTTCAGGCACGCACTCGAGCTCGGAGCCCTCGAGATTTGGCCGTAGTGGAGCCACCCGCACCCATGCCTTGGGGCCACTTGGAACTGCAGTTTCTGAGCGCCATTCCCGTGTTTGGAAACGGGACCAACTACATTGCACTGCTTCATGACTACAACGAAAGTCTTTGGCACTACGCCAACGAAAACCAGCTATTCTGCGCTTCTGCAGACGGAAGCCACAAGGCTGCGTTTAAGCTGTGGCGCGCTGAGACCGTCATGATATCGCAGATGATCATGGCCTTCCACTGCCCTTGGCCACAAGAAGCAGCAGATGGCGCCTATCACCTCATAGTGCAAAGCAATGAAGGCGTGCTTGGGGAGGTCCGGACAAGGCAGGCCCCAAACCTTCTCGGCCGCCACGAAACCATCGCTTGCATTAACGTGGCTTGGAATACCCCCGGCATGAAGCCGACCAGCACCAGAGCGCCCCAGTGGTTGGAGTACAATTTGATGCATGGCGTTGGCCACTTCTTGTTGTACACTCAAGACGGCATGGACCAAGAGTTTCTCCAGGTGTACCGACCATATTTGCAGGAAGGTCTTGCGACCCGCATCCACATCACTCCCGTCAAAACCCAGTTCAACACTTCTCGTGGCATGCACTACTCCACCCACAATTGGGTGGCCAATGACTGCCTGTATCGGGCCAAGCATCATGCCCGCTGGCTGATGCCAACCATCGACTTGGATGAGTACTTGGTCCTCAAAGAGAGCGCCCCGCCGGCGTGGCATGGACCGCACTTCATGGCCAAGCTGTGGGACCAAGTGGCCGCGAATGTGTCGAAGACACGCGACGAGGTCCACGCCGTGATGCTTTCCCGCTACAACTTCTTAATTTCCCCGGCCCCGGAGCTGGAAGTCACGTCCACGCTGCGGCAGCGTGAGGTCGCGCCTCTGTGTCCGAAATACGTGCTGAACCCCGATGCGATCAATTTAGCCTTTGTTCACTGGCCTACAAACTGGGCGGAAGGGACAGTCTCGCTTGTGCTTCCGAAAGACCTGGCCTCCCTGAATCACTACAGATTTAGCGAGGAGAAGTACCTTGGCGAAGAAATGCGGGATGAGACCTTGGTCCCAGAGGCGCCTGCCATAGCCAATGCCCTCAGAGCTCGCTTCAGGAAGCCCTGGGAGGAGCTGGTGCTTGAGCTCACGCCCACGGCGGATCCGCCAGCTCATGTTCCAGATGTTGATGTTCCACAGAAGGTTAATTACTCGGCCAGGGCTTGGACATGTTTTAATGCAGTGCGCGACGCATCCAAGGTTGAGATCGTCCACCTCCGGGGCGGTCTCACCGATCCATGACACATGTTAGTCAGTTCATTGGCATCGCGAGTGGCGCTGGACTAAAGTGAGCAAAGAATCGGATATGCAGGATCGCCCGGAGGCTTGTGTGAGTGTTGCTTGCGAATGTCGAGGCAAGCTGCTTGACTATATGTGCATGTGTCAGCTGCAGGTTCTAGTTAGTCCACCAACAGCCCACGCAAAGGAGGTTCGTACAGGAAGGCCATCAACATGTTCCATCAACCTGGTCCATGTTAGAAATGTGCGCGTGTTCCCCTTTTTTTAAGTCTCCACCGTAAGCTAGCATAGCAAGCAGCGGGTGTTGCGGGTGTAGCATTGCATGGGATGTCGGTGAATGCTCAAGATGGCAGCGCTGATTCTGGCGCTGATGCCACACACACGGCAGCCAAGGCTGTTGGCAAATTTGTTGCAAGGACTGTGAGGACATTTTGACTGTGTGAAAGGCATTGTCCAGTGCTTGACTTCTCAAACACAGTCACAGTATGTCACAGTTGTTCTGAGCCCGGAGGCATTTTCGTGTCACCACACATCCTGGTCAGTTCACTCATCTGTACCATTCGAGTTGCTGGCAGCTTTTCTGCAAACATGCTGTTGGCATTTGTGCACATGGTCCTGACTTTGTCGAATCTATTTCGAGGCAATTGTTTGAGCCATAGATGTTGACAGACTTGCTGGGTTGAGGAAATTCCATCAACGAAGAGCTGACCTCAGTTTGTTGATCCCGGCCGATGTCAGCTAGCTGTGCAGCAAGAACCAGACGTGTTAGGAACCACACTGCCACGCCTGTTGGCAACGAGGCGCGAGACACTGCAAAGGATACTCGTGTTTGAGCATCTCGTTGGGCACAGGTGTTTGTGTTCGGTGGCTACGATGGTCAGAAGAATCACAACGAGCAGCTTCGCTTCACTGCATGGCATGGAATGCTCTCTTTTGCATTGTGTATGCTCTCTTTTGTCCTTTTTACCCAAACAGTTCCAGTTAGTGTTCTTGCTCTCTAAAGCTAGAACCACGGGTGGCCCGAAAGCAAAAAAGTCACGCGTGCTCTTGCTCAGGAAATGGTGTTGCGTGCGTGAGTGCGTGCGTGAGTGCGTGCGTGAGTGCGTGCGTGCGTGTGTGCTTGCGTGCGTGCGTGCGTGCGTGCGTGGGTTTTTGTGTGCGCGTTTTTGAGTGCTTGCGTGGACACAAATGAAGCCCCAGGGGCAGAAACTATTCAAATACTACGTCGTCAACCTGCAATCCACAAGAAGACTCGCCCGCCGACAACGCACTGCGCGATAAATGCCTGGAGCAAGTTCACTGTTGGCGCGCAACAGTGTTCAATTCTTGTGCAGAAGCGTCTTCATTGTGGGTGCGCGAAAGTGTTCGTTGTTGACGCATGTGTGTGTTCACAGTCGGCGCGCGAAAGAGAAGGCGAGAAACATGCTCATTATCTGCGCTTGAGCGTGCGTGGTCGCAGTCGGAGCAAAAAGTGTTCATAAGCTCAAGCGTGTTTCTTGTTTGAGCGCAAAAGTGCTCCGTGTTGGCGTAGAGGCGTGTTCCTTGTCGCGCAAGAGTGTTCATGGTTGGCGCATAAGTGTGTTCACGGTCGGCGCGCGAAAGAGTTCAGCGTTGGCGCATGGTGCCCGCGAGAGTTTTTTGGAAATTGTTTCCGTTTGAGTTTGGAGCTGTTCATGACGTTGAGAACTCCTTTTGGTTTCTGACCCGTTTCCAGTGTGATTGTTGGTGGCTTGACCTGCGTGTGGGCATTGCATCCTTTCAGGTTGTACGTCTTCGAACTACACAGCATGGAGCGCAGCCGGCATGTCCAAACTAGCCTCAGTGCAAATTGCATGTTCGGGTGTGACTTGCGCAGGTGGAGACAACCGCAGGTCCTTGGGCAGAAGCCCAGTGGCAGGCCTGCGCCAACAGAGACACGGAGTCACGCAGTCACGGAGTCACGGAGTCACGGAGTTGACGTCTTGGTGTTTTCGGCCACGGCAGGAACGGGCATTCGGCCACCCTTCTGGGAGGCCAGATCCTGATCCTCGGCGGGTGGCTGGGCAACGGGCCACTGGCAGCAGGCGCGAGCTGCGCGCGGCGGCGCCCCAACTGCTTAGTTCCAGGTGACATGCACTTGCTGAACTTGAGCCCTTTGAAGTGGGTTGGCGCCCCAAAGCCTTTGAGCATTTGCATTTCAAGCATGTCAAGCATGTCAAGCTTGTTTGGAGAGGTGCCGCCCAAGTTTACAGGAGACCCGTGCGGCGCTTAGATGCGCAATGAGGGACTCATGGCGGAAACGAGGGAACGAGGCAAGACAGCCGGAACCTAGCTTTTGCATTTTCCTATGTGGAGCTGATTTATCAGTAGTCGTACCACGTTGTTTTTGCGGAAGCCAGAGGCCCGAGTGTTTCAAACCTGTAGCCCGAGCTGACAATGGTTGAGATTGTCATTGTGTTTCAGCTCAGTGACCTGGGTGAGTAAGAATTTCTGAGTTCTTTCGGTTAGGCCAGGGCCGTGCAACATGCACACAGCGGACCTTGTGGGGCAGACGCTGCTGGTTTTTCGCGGCGGTGACGGCCGCGCGTGCCCAGCGCACGCTTAAGACGTGGCTTGCGCTTTTGGGAGGCCCAGGCGCATGACTTGACATTGAGATTGGGGGAGGCGCCGCAAGAAGCTGACCAAACTGAACGCAATGCTGCGTGGTGTTCTTGGGGCAGCGCCGCGCAGGTACCTGAACGACCTGCATGGGCTTGATCTCCAGACCAACACCTGGCGACCTGCCTGCACTGCGCAAGCCCGTCTGATTCCGCGAGCGCTGCGAGGTACACGGTCAAGACCACAGGCGAGCAGCCGCCGCCAAGAGCTAATCACGCTTCCGCAGTAGATGATTACAGGCGAGGCAGCCATGCTTCTGTCTTTTGTGCACGCTTTGCTGGGAGGCTCTACATTTTTGGTGGTTGGGACGGCACCAAGCGCCTGAATGATCTTTATGTTTTAGCTGGCTCTCAGCGAAGCCAAAGTCGCAGAGCGCACATCAGTCCTGGCTTCAGGATAATCGCGATGGCGTCTGGACCATGCTGAAGCCCAGCGGTTATGCTCCTCAGGCTTCGGAATTTGAAGTCCAGTCAGCAAACAAACCAGATGGCAGTCAGCAATTCAGCAATTCAGGCACGAGCGGGTATGACCTTGTCCATCATTCGTGATTGCCAGGGTCTCAAACAACTCACAGTCTGACCTTCAGACGCTGGCTTTGAGGTCTTTATTTGTTTGGCGGCTCTGGCCACACCACTCGCTGTTTCAACGTGCCGCCCTTGATGGCTCGAGTTTTGAGACAAATGGGTTTCTTTCGCTGAGGATGTCCATGTCTATGACCCCAGCGAGCAGGTGGGGGTGGGGCTTGTCTGACGTCTTGCTTGGCTCGAGCTCAGGCCTGGTTTCTTTGTGTGCAGTCGGAGACGGCGGAGCGCGCGGTTCTGACACAGAGCTGCGAATGGGCTTTGTGTCCCGAGCTGAGGCATCGGCCCAGCGAGCTCCCGCCTTGTCGCGCACAATTGATGTTGATTGTAACGGATTTGAATGCACTTTGATGGGCTGAGGACGTGCTGGTCACGTCGCTGTTGTGGTGGACCGTCGCCTCTTCATCAGTGGCGGCGCCTGCGGCACACAGCCCCTTCGGTCAAAACGTGTCTTTGACAATGGGGGGCGTATGCATTTCTTTCTTTTGCACTCACCCACACCCGCCCGCCCGCCCGCCCGCCCGCCCGCCCCCGCCCGCCCGCCCGCCCGCCCGACCACCCGCCGCCCGCCCCGCCCGCCCGGCCCGCCCGCCCCCGCCGCCCGCCCGCCCGCCCGCCCGCCCCCCGCCCCCCGCCCGCCCACCGCCCGCCCGCCCGCCGCCCGCCCGCACGCCGCGCCCGCGCCGCGCCCGCGCCCGCGCCCGCGCCCGCCCCCGCCACGCCGCGCCGCGCCGCGCCCGCCCCGCCCCCGCCCGCGGCCCGCGCCCACGCCCCCCGCCCCGCCCGCCCCCCCCGCCCCCGCCCCGCCCCGCCCCGCACCCCGCCCCCGCCCCCGCCCCCGCCCCCAAAAAATGTAGAAAAGGCTTGTCCTAGGGGGTGGGGGGTAGATGGTTGCCTGTTCTGTTTTTTATTTCACAATTCAACACGTGTACCACCTTATCCGTTTTTAAAAGGCTGATTTTGGGGGCATGAAATAACGATATGGATGTGGTAACGAATTGATGATTTGGTCCCCTGTTTCGTTCCAGATTTCAACTTTTAGTTTTATTGATTGAAAGAGGTTAGGACTTTCTGCGGTTTCACGGGTTGGCTTTTGGGCGGCTGTTCTGGTTTGTCATTTAATGAAATGTTTATAGATTAAAAGTTCGCCATAATTATAACATATAAGAATATAAATGATATATTATGGTTTAGTTATGAATTACACAGGTTGATCAACAATTAGTTTAAACCTTATGTTTTGTACTCCTCCAAACTCCATTCTACTTCTTTCTTCATCAATGCAACTGTTTATTTCTTGATACGCCGCTATCATTACTTCAGATAAATTATCAATGGTTACATTATCTACAACATCATCACTATGAAAATGAAAACTAAAAGTGTTAAAATGGTCGTCTTCATAATAATTGAAATGATGAAACTTTACAAACATATTTACCTCAACTATTATCACTGCTTCATAACCGTTAACGGTTTCAATGTCATCTAACAAACAATCTAAGTTTTCATTTTCATTAAAAACTATATCTTCGATGCTTTTAATGCTTAAAAGTATATTTCTTGAAATGTAATACTCAATTACGTGTCTCTTTATATCATCGCCATCTTCAACAGTATAGCGCTTTGTCTTTCTTTTTGTTTCTGTTCTGTTTATTTTATATTGTTGTTGTATTCTCTTTAATGTCTTAATATGATTATGTTTTATTTTCAAATACTCAGGTCCCCCTAATTTATATGAAATGATACCTTTTATTACATCAGCAGGTAAGCTAGCGCAATTCTCAAACATAAAATTATTCTCTGACATTTTACCCTTACTCATTTTACTCATTTTT